ATAAGCCTCCATAAGGCTATGCATGCAATTTATTTGACAAAAACCCTGCCTATTTTTGCGAAAAATGGGCAGTTTTTTGCTTTTTTTGCCCCCCTGGAGCACTCTGCAAGCCCCACTCCCCCCAGGCTATTCGTGCTTTTTAAAAAAAGGGTCTGTTTTTGCAAAAAAAGGGCCATTTTTGGAAGGTTTGCAGAATGCAAAAACTTTTTTCCCCCCTTTGGAGAGCTCTTTAACTGATTGATGAGAATTGATCAAGTGCTGTGCCAGCAGAGAGAGTTTTAGGTACTGCAGATTGACAGCGATTTCCTTCTCCAGCCCAGGGATAAATACACCTGGAAACATCTACCTGTCTACCTACTCTCTCTCTCCCTCTCCCTACCTATCTACTGTATTTCTCTCTCTCTCTCTCTCTTTCTCTCTCTATCCCTCTACCTACCAAACTACCTGCTTTCTCTCTCTCCCCCTATCTATCTATTGTATTTCTCTCTCTCTATCTCTTTCTATTTCTCTCTCTCTATCCCTCTACCTACCTGCCCACCTACACCCTCTCTCTCTCCCTACCTACCTACCTACTGTATTTCTCTATCTCTCTATTTCTCTCTCTCTCTCTCTCTCTCTTTATATACCTACCTACCTAACTAACTACTCTCTCTTCCTACCTACCTACTGTATTTCTCTCTCTTTCTCTCCCTCTCTATCCCTCTATCTACCTACCTACTCTTTTTTTAAAATTTGCCTCTTCAAAATCTTGGTACGTCTTATACTCTGGTGCATCTTATACTCTGAAAAATACGGTATTTAAATTCAACATGATTGCCCTTTTTAATAGTGCTGAATTTAAATATATGCAGAAGTGATAATATTCATGCAAATGAACACCACCAAGAAATCCAAACTTTTGTGTGTGTATGTGTGTCTGTGTCTGTGTGTGTGTCTGTGTCTGTGTCAGCTAATAATAATAGACGTGGCATGTTTTGCAGATCATTTAAAAGACAGGATCAAAACACAAAGATATGAGAATTCGTCATTTTAAAGTATTCTGGTATGTTTTCAAGCTTTTTTTTTGTAATAGCTTGCTTTAAAGATGCAGCTGCTTTAATGAGTCAACTTGGAAAAAGCTTGCTTTTTTTTAAACAGACCATAGTTTTTCCCCTTTCAAATGACCAAGTAGTTTTCTGAAAAGGTGAAAACCATTCTACCAATTCCTCATTTTAGGACTAACACATTTTTCAGAGTAGATTAGTCAAATGCAGGAATTAAAGTCAATGAAAAATGACTAATACAAATTACAAAAGCCCAAAGGCATTCTATCCAGGTTCAAATGATGACCACTTATCCCTTCTAAAGTGATGGTTGAAATATACTGGTAGTGACACAGTGAATTAACTAACATTGTTGCTTTAGGCCATCCAGTCTAGATGTTCTTTTCCTCTAAAGAAACTGTGCTGCAAGTCTGTAACTTGATTGGAATAACATGATTTGATTGAGTCAACCATTCCCTTAGCCCTATCCATTGGTATCATTTAATTACAAGGGAGCAAAGTTCTCCCAGTCATCACAATGAAAGCTGAACAGCTGCCAAATCTTGACTTTTGGGGTGACAGCAAATGAAGAAAGGTAATAGAAGTCCTTGTGGCAACTGGACTGGGATTAGCAGCACTGTGTATGAAGTTGGTTGATAGAATATGTACCCCCTTCTGGTCTCTTTTCCATCTGCATTCAGTGGACACCAAGTGAAAAAGTGGCAGAGCACCTAAGAGTTCTGCCTTGTTTAGAACTTTCCTTTAGAAGTAGGGAAACAAATGTTAACACTTTATTAAACCACTCAGTCCTGTCTATTTGTATGATACATTAATCAAGGAGATTTAATTTAGCTCTAATCAACTGCCTGGGATTAATTGACAGGTTATAGGTGAAATCCTTGACTCAGCTGGGTCAACCCCTTGACCTAGTTGTGTATGTCATATGAACAGACTTGTTTTCAGAGAACCAGCTGTCAGCAATGACCAAGGTATGAAAGATAATAAAAAACCTACTAAATCAAGTTGTGAGCAACCCTTGTCCCCCAATATTCTTTCCTTCTTTTCTCCAACAGAATCATGTTGTTTGGAAGGAATCATTTAGGTCCCTGAGTTTTATGCTTGGTTAGAATAATAGAATAACAAGAGTTGGAAGGGACCTTGGAGGCAGTGGTGGGATACGACCGGTACGCCCTGGTGCCTGCTGGGAGTACCAGGTACTGTTCCGGTATGATGCCCCAGATGGCCCACCTGCCCGCCCCCTCTCCTTACCTCTATTTGAGCCATCCGGGGCATTTGCGCATGAGCATGGGGCATACAGCACCTGCGCAACGCTCCGCTGAGCAGCTGAAGCCGGAACCCACCACTGCTTGGAGGTCATCTAGTCCAACCTCCTGCTTAGGCAGGAAACCATATAGCATTTCAGACAAATACTGTTTCTCTGTGACAAACTAGATGGAAATTTCCCTGAAAGATGACAGTTTAGCAAAGGAAAACCATCCCCAGTAATTTCTTCCATTATTCAACTTTATATGTTTTAATGACACAACTTTCATTCCAACATATAACTCCCATTATCCTTGTTGCCTTTCTTTATATTTCTTCCAGTTAAGTGCCCCTCCGAACCTGGATATAGTATCAGTCCAAGGCTGAATAAATGTCATACTGAAGCCCAGAGACAAGATAGCAAGATCCACTTGAGTCCAATCCTTTATTTGCGTACACCTAATGAACTGAATGTTGCCAAACAAAACCTATAATCTTCTTACCTACCAAATATATCCTGAGAGATTCTAGGGGGTGGCTACCCTGAACCTCTTCTCCCCACCCTCAGAGACTGTGCAATCTCTTAATCTGGACCTCTTTTTGGGAAGGTTCTGCATTGCCAAAAATCTCCCCCATTGCTCCTGCAGGTGCACATTCCATCACAACATAATGGTCCTATTGTTGCTGAGTACCGGTCTGTTGAGATAAGGAGAAAGTCTCCCTTCTGACTCCAGTAGTCTCATGGGGTGGACCACATCTCAGGAAAATCCTCAAAATTTTCCAGGAGTAGAACAGAGATGGCAGGCAGGGCTTAGGGTAAAAAATATTCTAGGTTACACGCTAATTAACTTGTATGTCATGCCAGAGTCTATTAGAGTTTGCAACTGTATTTCTACCTGAGTCTGAAGAGTAACGTAAATGCCTAAATATTTGACTAAAGTTCCACATGTCTAGGATACACTTGATTTCTGAGTGCCCCTTGAAGTTAAGACTTGTTTGAGTGACACTTTTTCTGACAATTCATATATGGAAGGTTGCAAAAAACATCCACAAATACTTTAAGTCCTCCATTGACATCCAAACAGTCTGCATTAAATCAAGTCTGGGTACCAATGGAAGACTTACAATGAGAAACTGGTAGAAGGAGGAAGGAAGGAAACAATTATTCACTTTTCTTCTTCCCTCTTCCTACATCCTCACATAAGAGATATCAGAAGTGGAGGATAACTGCTGAATGCATTTCCTCATTATTACACCTGACAGTCCCTGTTTAAGCTGGTAAATGAAGCCTCTTTTTCATGCCAGGCAACATCCTAAACTAACTAACAGCTGAAAGTCAGTAATATTGCACTGCGTGCTACCTTATTGGAAGTGAAGGGTTTCACAGTTGGTGGTCACTTGCTTGACTAGATCATTAATATTAATCCTCAGGCAATAAGGCCGTTACTCAGTAATGAAGGTTTGTGGCTGCTGCAGCTGCTCTACCAATAGCTGCCAGATTTTGGGTCAAGATTGTTATGGGACTTTGTGATAGTGATATTCAATTTTGTTCCACCTAATAGTTACCTGATTTATTTTGGAGTAAACTGATCTATCTGTATCACAAATTGATTCAAGGCATAGGCTCTTTTGTGACACTGAGAATATAGGTAGAAAAATATAGGTAGTAAAATTTTGCTTTCAGATTTCATGCCAAGCATGGCAATAAATCTGGTCTTTCCAGACGCTATGAAACTCACAGATGTGGCACAATCAGATTTACTGCGGATAAAGTACAAACCATATACACACAAAGTATCAAAACACAGAAACCTCTGACATATGTTTTCTCCAAGGTTTAAATGTTACACCTTTCCCTCCTGCCTTTCAAGGCAATGGCCACTTTTCCATTATCATGGCCTTGAACCCCAGAGATATTTGCTCAAAATTTATATAACAGTTCCTCCTAGCCTGCTGGTTTCTGGCTCACCATTTTTAACACTTATAACTCTTATCAAGGAAGACAAGGATAAAATAAGATCTAATTAAATCCACATTTGCTGTAGTTTTAAATACATTCTAAATTCATAAATAAATAAGTTCTAAATTCATCTATTATTAGTTCCCTTGCCTCTACTTTACTAGTGAGTACAATTGATATATTCCCAATGGCAATCAGTTTCCCTGGGAAATAAGGCAAGACTTAAGCACAACAGAAGCATAGTAGATATTCAGTAGAAAAATTTATTCAAAGATAAGTATCCTGCCTATTTCAAAAGGAATATCAATCTCCTCAAAGAGTGGGATTGACAGCCTTGGGTACTCCTTGCTTTAAATTACTAAATCTGCTCTGATCACAATTAACATTGCATAAACATCAGTTGCTCCTCCAGCTCTTTTTTTTAGTAGAAATAAAAAATCCTCCATAATGTTTTACTTTTGGACATGCACTTTTCCTTTCTTCAGAAAAGAACACTTGCTGTTATCAAGCAATATAATATATTTAGATTAGATTAACATAATAACAGATTAGAAAGATATACTTAACAAAATTAAAGAAAATTATCTGAAAATGTCCCCCCTTTATTTTAAAAAAATAAGTTTATTTCTCCCATTATTTTTAAGAAAATGGTAGCAAACTCTTTCCCACTTGTTGCAAATTGGAAGGTGCTGGAAATTTTCAGTCCCAGAAAACACTACAATATCATTAAAACCAACATTATTTTATGTACTCACCATGGACTGTAGATACCAAGACAATTGTGAAGAACAGCAGCAACTGTGATGACCACATGACTATGGCCCAAAATATAAGGTTACTTCAACAGTGGAAGTTTTCAGAAGAAAAATATAAAGATTTCTCTCTGATGGTAATCCTCTCAGGGATATTCAATTTAATCGCAATTCAGTGAAGCAGGCGGAGAACACAATAAACTAGCTCTAAAACCAGCACCTTCGACAAATGTCCAAAACTCAAAACCTAGAAACAAAAATAAAAGTTACAATTAATTTAAAAAGTAAATGTTGCTATTCAGCTCAATATAACCACTGTAACATTTGGTTTAAAACTGTATCAAGAAATCAAGAGCATATTTGGACATTTTGTCATTATTTTGTTTTGATAATCAAAACAAGAAACATGACAAGGTCAAACAGTATTGTGCTGCTTTCATCATATATATGAATAGACTGTATGTTACAGAGAATCTTGATATTATGGGTTTATATACATGTGATTTGTTAGAATTACTATAGCTTTTTGGCTGAAAAAGATTTGAGAACAGCCAGGAATGAGAGAAAATAAGTACTTGGGAATAGGGTGAGGGAGTAATTAATTTAGGTATATGTAAATCACTTTCTGAAGTGATTATATTAAAATATCTTGAAGTAAATTCAGATTCTTAGCAACTATCAATATATTATGCTAATGGGATAAGCTTTAGGGGGATCTTTAAACAGTCAATTGAAAATTGTACCAGTATGGACCAATATTAAATGTCAATTTTTAAACAGTCATCAGATTAAAGTGGTACTTTTGTTACTATTTTTTTTTATTCTGCAGCTATTTATTTCATTCTCTCTCAGACAGCTGTTACAATCAGCTACAAATTTATTTTAGGTTCTTTTTTATTCAACTATTATGGCGTGTGCCATTGTAAATCCAGACAGAGGTTATCGGCAGCAGAATGACTTCATCAGAAAGATCAAGTGATCATTGTAATGTTCCACCCTTATGTACAGTGCATTCAGAAAGTATTCAGACCTTTCACTTTTGTCAGTTTTGTTATGCTGCTGCCTGATTCTACAGTGGTTGAAATTCAGTGATGTCAAATTGTTAGAATATATGACATGTCATGAGGTCTGTGCCATTTTGTACTTTTGCCATGACATCACACTCAAGTTGTATAGGGCTGTTTGGCCCATAATGCATGTTTGTTACTAGCCTCCCTTACGGGGGTACCAATATTCAGAAAATTTGAATATGCAGTGTTTTTCTCCTTTTCCTAATTTTATACCAGTGATTTTTATATAGAACATTGATGTAACATTTTTCAATACTGCCTCGATGAAGACATAAAGCTGTGATTTTTTTTGTGGGTTTTGATAGTTGACAACCACACCAGAATAAACCTGTGCAAAATTATCACTAGCCTTCTTCAAAAATATGTATTTGATTTCAATAATTTCAAAGGAACAGACATGATAAGTGAATGGGCAATAAAACAACAATATCAAAAGCAACAAAATGCAGCATGAATAACCAATCAAGTTCAGTCCCGATCCCTGGTGACTGCATTTTTGGGAGCTGTTTGTCCTTACCTGTTTCCTAGGGCTGGCAAGAAGGACTGGCCAAAGGTCACCTAGCTTTGTACCTAAGGTGTAACGAGAACCAGATGCCTCAGTTTCTAGACCAGTGTTTCTCAACCTTGGCCACTTGAAGATGTCTGGACTTCAACTCCCAGAATTCCCCAGCCAGCATTCGCTGGCTGGGGAATTCTGGGAGTTGAAGTCCGGACATCTTCAAGTGGCCAAGGTTGAGAAACACAGTTCTAGACTGTTGCCTTAACCGCTACACTAAATTGTCTCTCCTCCTAAATCTTTATCTACTTTTTATTCAGCACCTACGCACACCCTTGGTAGTTGATTTTTTTTAAAAAAAAAAAACCCTACAGATCACTTTCAAAAAAAGTGTCGTAATCAAGCTGGCTCGGCACACAAGTATTTGCCTTCTCTTATGACTTTGGAATCCTTGATGAAGGTTATAAAATATTCCAAAAGAAAGAGAACTTGTGTAGTCAGAAGTAGAAACTTTAATTAAAAAAAATAGCTGTGAAACATTTTAAATTACTATTATGACAATATTCTGGCATAAAGTCCTACATAAATTTGGCTGTGACAGCAAAATGAATCCTACAAAAACTACCCCTTGATGTTATGTCAAGAAAAGAATTGCTTTCTTCTCTTGTCACTTTTGTTCATAATATCTGTAACAGCTTTGGGAAAAAAAAGTCAAAAAACCAAAGAAAATAATTCCCTGTGGGGGAATTTCATATTCAGATAAAAGATCAACAGCAGAGACACAAATCAATTTTCTCAGATAGAAAATATCACTGCAGACTAAGTAGAAGAGACATGTTCAGGATGGAAAGGTATAATATTAGATTAGAAAAACTTTTAAGTTGTGAAACTATCTGTTTTCCCAGCAAGGCTGGCCTAGGTTTCCCAAACTCAGGATTTTATAAGAAAGAAATGTTGATCCAACATCTCTAATCCAGCAGACCTTAAAATTTCTCTTTCATGAAAATGAAAACTTTTCATTTTCTTCCTAAATATGATGCAGATCAATGGGATAGTTCTAAGATCACACATACTGTAATAGGAAGGCAATTTACAATAAGAAACTGATTACATTTTTTTCCAAATGTTGGAATAGCTTTTCACCTTTTTCTAATTTGGTCCATTTTAAACTATGAAAGAGAAAGAGCTGTCTGCACACTATCCTTGATTAAAAATACATTATAGTCTTCAACACTGCAGCCAAGACTCATCTATTATCTTTACATAATGGGATCTTCTGAGAAAAATGTTATTTGATGACTTTACATCCAAATTTCCTGAGAAGAAAAACCAGAAAATGAAGCTATAATTTTTTAAATAACCTGAATAAAGAAATAAATGGGTGGTGCACAAAAAATATTATATTAATCACGGCAATGTAATAATGTTCACGGCTAACAATCTTCCTGGGTAATTATCAGCTTTTAATCACAATATCTGGGAAAATCATATGCTTACAATAAGGAAATTAAAATGTTTGGAGCCATTTGGGAAACTTGGGGAACTATTTAAATGTTAAAATAGTTGCTGAATCTGCTTTAGGCAGGGAATCATCCTAAAATGTCAGTATTTGCTTCGTGTGTATTTGTTAAGTAATGTAATTTCTTAGGAAATGTAACTGACTTCTATCATAAAGCTACAAGACCAATTCACCAATTGTTTTATAATTCAGTATGCTTCTTACAAGGGCCACTTCAACATTTGCCATGAATAACCAACAAACAATAGATTAATTCAGCTTTCTTACATTTGGAAAAACTTTTAAAACTTTACATTTTAAAAAAAAAATTGGGCAATCTGCATTGTTCTAGGTGAATTTATTGCACTTGACCATTCCTTCCTCTGTATTTTAAGACTTTAAAAAAAACACGTTCTACCTTTTTGCAGTTTTCCACTATGATATAGTTAAGATGTATAAACTTCCTTTTGGAATGAGCCCTGTGTCAAAGTGAGTTTCCAACGTGTTCCAATTTGCAGCAAACTATTTTCCAAGCCAAACCTTGGTGTAAATACCTGCTCTCTACAAGTAATGCCAGCTACTTTTGAACGCCTGGTAGTTCTATGCTTTCCCTCCCAACTAGCCATTCCCAGTATAGGTTTTATTTTAGTCCTGTACATTTTATCTTATGTAAACCTCTGAAAAAGTCATTTTAGTTGTCTCCAAGTTTTTTACCCAACGTAGTTTTAATAATCCTTGAAGTTAAGCCTATCTACTCGTTTTATCCTTTTTATTTTTCTTTTAACACTCTACTGTTATAATCCATAGCAAAGTGATAGCAAACCATCCTTTGAAGTAATAATAAACTCATGCTTTCATTCTAGGGATAATATACTGTATCTTGTTTATAGGCAGATCACACTGGTATTGAAAAACTGTAGAAGTGCAAAAACTGAAACGGAGATATTAAAAAATAATGAAGCCCACTGGTTTATCCATTTATTCATAAGTTAATCAAACCCTTGAAAAGTTTGAAAGCATTTATACACTTATCTGGCAATAAGATTAATTGAAAGTAATATTTGCTTCTCTGCCTACACATGAAAGATTGGGCAAAAAGTGACATATGATTAGGACTGGGCACCTTTTACTCTGTCTCAGTGTGAGAAACCTGTTCCCTCTGTTATGCCCTAACACTAGCAACTTCAGGCTGGTGCAGACATACCCTCTTCTATGTGGTGCCTAGGCACTCCCTTCCAGGGCCATTCTGTTGTGGGGTATCGGAAAGTATAATTCCCTGAAACAAGCCCCGCATGAAATATACCCTGTATGCCATCAGCCCACAAAAGATCTGTTCCACAGGATTCTTTCAAAGCAGCAATGCTTTAGAGTTGTGTGGACAAGCCCACCCCTCCTTTGTCCCATGAGTGGATTGAGGATTTCAAAAGAGCACTGAACCAGAGGTCAAAAGTAACTTAGTTGTTTGATGAGCATGTTCTGGATGATAGTTAGCTTTCTTTTACACAAAGCCCATCAGAATGAAAGCCTATAGGGGAACAAATTTCTTATACCCCAGAAAGGATTTCACCACAGAACTTTCCTGGAGATTCAAGATAGACTTTTAAACTTCTGAAAAATCTGTCCTTTATTTTTAATAAAAATAAAATTAGGGTTAAGTATTAAGGTAATGAATATAGGGAAAGATAATATGATTCACAGCATTCCGACAGGAAAAATCTGGTGAAGAAATTGTTTTAGTGTTTTCTTATTTCTTCACTCTTATCTAGTGGTCATACCAAGTTTGCAGCTAGCTCTGGCAACTTGTACTCAAAAATATATTTTATTCATATTTCTTTCTTCCCCCTTCCAAGTGAATATAAGTTATCACTCATCAACTCATGCCCTGACTCATTTTTTTTTAAAAAAAAATCAGAAATGAAGTTTTAGTTTAGCTAAACCTGTATGTAAATGTCTTGCTAGCTCCTTATTGATCCTTGTACTCTCTCATCCTGCTTTCTCCCCAATTTTTAATCTATTTTAAAATTTTAGATGGACACCTATATGATATAAAACAAACCTAGGCAACCAACAAATACAAAAATAAAACATATGATTAAGACTCTTGTGTTGCCATAACCCCATCCTCTCAAAAACACTTCCTTTCCATTCTGGCCCAACACCCCCAAACTGTACAATGTTGCATT